CAGTCAGAATTTAGGACCCAGACATCCAAGGAGATACTGGAAATAACTGTGGTGCAGCATTTAGAGACATTAATGGAAGTGAGATCACACACAGAGCTTGCTGCTAAGGGGAAGAGAAGCTAATGCCCCAGCTAGCAAACTGGAAAGAACCTCTGGTTCATTCAAGTTAAAAGACAATCTTGCTTGTGTCTCCACATTGGCATTTATTAATTCACAGGAACTGTACTGTGTGCTTTGAATGTATTATCTCATTTAATAATCATAACAACCTTATGAGGTAAGTATTATTACCCTTATTGTCATTTTATAGTTTAGCAAGCTTAAGCACAGAAAAAAAAAATTGTGTTCCCCACCATATAATACTGTTTGCCAGAACTGGGTATAGTACAGAAAACAGGCATGAAGGGTTGACTTTAGAATTACATCTTTGGAAAAACATAGGCTTCGATGAATTTTGTAGACACGGCAAAAGTTAAACTTTTCAACGTCATACAGCTATCCGAGCACCAGGACTAGCATGAGGTCAGTGAAGCACTCACCTTGGGTGTAAAATGGAAGGGCTCCAAAAAACCAAAAAAAAAAAATCCCAAAAATAACAAAAAAAACCTCAGTAATTCAGATGCATGATATTTTGATGCAATATTTAAAATTTCAAAATTAATGCAAAAATCTATGATGAACAAAATATCAAACTTTTAAACAAAGACAGGATTATTGTGACTGATTTTCCCTTCTGTCTCTGACTCTAATATGGCCCAGCATGGCGACAGCTGGGAGGCCTGAACTTGAATGCTGTCAGTCTGAGGTCAGAGCCCAAGCTTGTAACCGTTACTTGCTGATGTTTGTCAGATAAAGGAGAGTCAAATATAAGTTAAAGAATGTAAGAATGGTGATCAAGGATAATGGCAAAATTATGGAGCTAATTCTTTAGGAGGAAAACAGAAAATGACTAATTTAATTTCCCGTGTAGGTCCTCACTTAGAAACTTAAGTATCTGTATAGTTTGGCTTCAAAGACAGAGGATCAATAAAAATCTTACTTAACTTTAAACTTTTCCTTGCCTCTCTTGGTACTCTTTTATCAGTGCCAAAAATCCAATTACTAATCATAAGGAGCCTAGAGCAGTTTCCCCTTCATCTGGTGGTATATTTTTCTGTAAAAAGTATAAGATACAATTAAGAGTGACTTGAACACTGAGAAACATTTCTTATCTCACATAACAGAAGCTCTGGAAGTAGAACGATTATTCCAAGATTGGAAAATTCAATGCCTCAGCCATGTCATATGGACACAAGTTCTTTCATTTTTAACCTTTGCCTTCTTCAGTGAATCATCTACTGTCTTCCTGGCTATAAGGTGGCTACAGCATCCCTGGGCATTATGTTCTCACACACCAAAGTCCTTATTTCTCCTTTTAACAGCAAGAAAACCCTCTCCCAGAATCTCTCATCCAATATCTGATTCCAGAACCAATTGTGAATTCATAGTTTTCTTTGTTTGTTGATAGTCATGTAGCCTAATAGGTAAAAGTCATGCTCTGGAGGGTACAAAATCTGATTCCATCACAATAACTATGTTACCTTAGGTATCTTATTTACATTCTCTATACCTCAGTTTTCTTATTTAAGTATATATAATATAGCTACATCATTGGGTTATTGAAAGAAAAATATAGGTTAATATACATATAATTCTTCGAGTAGTATCTGGCGGGTAAAATCCACTCCATTTAAAATGTTAGCTTCTATTATTTTTATGATGATCCTCAATGTAATATATTTAATTTAACTCATGGAAATATGAGAGGTAAGAAAATGTAATTAAAAAAACACATCAATAAAAGGTTTAGTTGCATTGTATTATATTATTCGCATGATATAGTTTGGGTGTAATATCTGAAAAAGAGAATAAAAATCACCTTGAGGACTACTATCTTATTTAAGAAATACCTATCATCTGTATCTATTATCTATATGCATGTCTGTATCTATGTTTTAAAGTTGTTGTTCACATAGCTAAAAATCAGATGCTGATCTCAAGCCAGCAACATTGACTTCATGAAAACATCCTGGTTTGATGATTTCAGAACCAGGCAATATACATGTCTGCAGAGTATATATAGTGCATTTAGGCATAAGGATAATTAAACTGATATCTATTTTGTTGGATTTTATTGTTAAGTTCCTCAGTGAACATTTAGAAAGAAGGGAAATGGGGAAATGGTCTCAATCTATTCAGATCATAAAAATCCCATTTGCAGTATTCTTCCATTAGATATAAAATATACTAGTGCTAAAATATACATTTAATGGTGCCATTACAATCCAGTTCCTTCATATAATTCTTTAAAATTTTTCAATTGCAATTATAAAATTCCATTTCATTTCCTTTCTCTAAGGTTTAATCTTACCATTCAGAGTACCATATCTTGCTCACATGAAACTGTCCAGAATGCAGTAAAATAAGGTCCAAAGAGTAAAGTTACACTGCCACTGAATCATGGAGATAAGTTTTAGCCTTTTGTACCTTGGTCTCCTTAGATGACCTGTGAATCCCCTGAAATAGAACATATAATTTAAAAGTTCCCCAGAATTCCCTTCTCTTGTATCACTTTCCCCCTTTCTAATATATGTACTGCCTGAGCAAGCACACACTTTCTGTGGGATCTTCCCCATCAGCATAAAATGGAATATTCTTTCCATTTTAACAATGTTAACAACAGAAAATCCACTAGGATGCTAGTTCTCTTTAAACATTGGCCAAACTCTTTTCATTTATTTTGATAAAATGTACTTACCACCTCTAAATTCTTCCCATTCGGTCTTGAATGCATTCCACTAAACTGGCCCTTTGAAGGTCAACAATGACATCCTCGTCATTAAATCCAAAGATCTATTGTCATTAAATTTCAAGGTCTATTCTCAGTCTTCATCTTACCTGACGTATCAGCAGCTTTTGCCAGTTGATCACTGTATCCTCCAGCAGACAATTTCCTCACTTGACATCTAGGACATTACACTCTCTTTTTTTTCTGTTTATTTCTCTCTCTCTCTGGATGTATGTGTGTTTATCTCTGTTTCTGTCTTTCTCATCTCTCCTTGTCATAAGCAATTGCAGTTTTCTTCCTGACTGGTCTGTCTTCTAAAAGTTGGAGTGCTCCTGGGTCCACTCCCTTGGTGATTTCATTCAGTATCATGATTTTGAATGCCTTTTATCCTCTACTGAACTCCCAATTTTCCATCTTCAGTTAGGACTTCTCTTTTGCAGGTCATACTGAGTTGTAAAAATGTCTACATCTTCACATTGATGTTAATAGGCAACTCAAGTGTGACAAATCTGAAACTCAGGTACTTGTATACTACCCCAACAAAACCCCGTTTCTCTCCAGACCTCCCCATTCCAGCACATGACATTTTCATCCTTCCAATTTTTCATGCCACAAACCTTGAAGTTATTCTGTACCTGTCTCTTTATCTTACACCCAAGATCCAAACTGTAAGCCTATATTATTACTTCTATCTTTTAAATGCATTTAGCTGACCACATCACAAGACATACACAATCATCCTGATAGAAATCACAATCATCATTCTCCTTGATTATTTCATTTGGCTCCTTATTTCATTTGATCTCCCTGTTTCCAGCCTGGCATTCTTTGAATCCTCAACACTGTGAATGCAGTTAAGCATGTCAAATCATGTCATTCCTTTGTTCAAATCTTCCAGCGACTTCTATCAGAATAAAAGTTTAATTTTAGAGTACTTAACCTTTAGATAATATAATATGTTGGTATAATTGTACTCTTTTAAGATATCAAATGGAAAAGAATCTCTGAGAAGCTAAACTAGTTTTTAAAATTAAGGAAAACAGAGAAAGGTGGGTGGGGGATGGGCTAGCTGGGTAATGGGTATTAAAGAGGGCACTTGTGATGAGTGCTAGGTGTTGCATGTAAGTGATGAATCACTGAATTCTACTCCTGAAACTGATATTGCACTGCATTTTGGCAAATAAAATTTAAATTTAAAAATAAAAAATAAATAAAAGTAAATAAAATTAACAAAAAGAAATCTAAAATTTAATTATAGATTGATGGAAAATCAGTTGCAACTTATACCATATTTCTAGATAGATCTCCTCTTCAGTCAGGTATTAGAGGCTACCCTTGCTTCCTCAGAGTAATTTTCACAAAGTTAAAGTGAGAAGAATAACATTCTAAAAATATCTATTATGTCTAATTGCTTGCATTTTTTATTTTTTAATCTCCCATTTCACAAATAATTTATATTTGTTAGGATGTGAAAAATGGAAGATTTATAGACTTCAGTTTTTCCTAACTTTATCTATTAAACTTAATAGAAATTTAAATGCTTTTTAGTTTTAGGTACTAGGGTGCCTAATAAGGATAACCAAATTGGACCTAGCTGGAACTTGTTACAAGTACTACCTCGACAGTTCCAGATTTTTTCTGATATATCACAAATTATAATAAATGGATCTATCACTCTTACTTTAGTCACAGCTACTAAGTCAACTTTGAATTTATTGTTTGTCTGAAAATTTACAGAGCCATCTTCTCCATGATGCTTTTCAGTATAATATGAGCCAATAGTGATTTCTTCTGTTCCTAAACATCCGTAACTTGCAGTGGATATAGCAATTTGAATAAAATAGATGCACATTATTTCAATCATTTCTAATTTTGTTCTGTGTTAAACTCTTATTTAGATTATAAACTTTTCAAGGACAATTTCTTTCTTGGTAATTCCATAGTTTGGTACCATAGGTATTCAATAACTTCTCTTTTTTAATTGAATACATATACATTCTATGACAAAATGTAGTTTCTATTTCTGAGCTCCCTCAAAAATTGCAGCTAAGAGATATTTACGTTTATAAAATTGACATATTTTGTGTCAAAAGCACAAATCAGTAAAAATAGCTTTTCTTAGTTTCTTTGGGGATGATTGTAAAAGTTTTCTCTTGTTTTTAATTACTTTTAGCAAGCTCTATTTCCAAGATTGGCTCAGATCCTCTGAAACTTGTACATGATGCTGTGGAAGAAACCACCGACTGGGTCTATGGCTTCTTTACTTTGTTGTCTGACATCATCTCGTCTGAGGGTGATGAAGAAGATGATGATGGGGATGAGGACACTGATAAAGGTACAAAGAGCATAGAGACACATCAAATTCTTGGACTAATTTTAGTTATATATTACAGTGGTTTGCTTAAGTTTAAACACAAATGAGCACTTGGGTCCGGCTAAACCAAAATAAATACACTTCTGAGTTCTAATAGCATATCAACAGGTTGGCAAACTCAGTAAATTGGTCTCTATTTGGCTTTCATCTTACAGCATACCTGCCATTATGACAAAGATGTCAACAATAAATGTTACCATGAGGGTAGCATTATACTAGAGAGGGTCTTATTATGCACTATTACAAACTCACAATAGGAACTCACATTTATAATGCTTCCTTTGGAAAAAATAGTAGCTATTTCTCAGGTTTATCCTTAGGAAGATTGAAATAACAACAGTAAAATTTGATAGACACATATTTTATGGATGTAAGTTATATTCATAGTCAAATAGCAGAAAGAAATTCTCCTAAAATTATAATAAAAAAGCAAATTTATTGAACCAAATGGAGGTGTAATGGAGGGACATATTCTAAATGTCACAATTATGCAACTAACCTATGTACACTCTCGTATATATTAATAAACAAAAGGAATTAAACTCCAACCATACATAAACTACTATTGAATGTATGTGAAACGAACAAAGCATGATGACCTTATCTTCTACATGACATTTTTTAGGGTCAACCTTCATCATCAGAAATCATGCATTCAAACTAGACTACCAAGAAAGCTCTTATTATTTTAGCCCTCTCTATGACTTTGTCTGAATTTGTATTTGTTTGGCCCCAGTGAGAGGTTGAGATGAACAATAGAGAATAGAAATGAACATGATATATGAACTATAATGTATAATTTGGACTGCTGCCACAATTTTATTGAACTCATAAAAGTGAAACTATCTCATAAATGTACATAAACAAAGTTTATACTTAAAAACTGGAATTTGGGAGGCAAAGTAATATAAAGACTACTAATGTCGAAACTAATAGATGGCTTTTTTAATGAACAAAAGAAAATGGGAAAATATACAGTAAACTGCTAAGCTAAAAGTTTTTTTAATTCACTGTTTTTGTCTTGGTCTAGGAGAAATAGAGGAGCCTCCCTTGAAACAAAAAGGTTGGTTGTTTTTACCTTTAATGATCCTTTTTTCCCGTTTATGGTAATGTTGATTTTCAGCATGACTCAAGATATATTTTACATGACTTGTAGCATTAATTCACTTTCAATGTACAGGTTTTGTTTAATGATTAGAGCAAATTTTATAGCTAGGTAGAGAAACACTCCATTCTCTCCAATAAAGCTGACCCCACTATTTTTCAGTTGATTAATTGGTGCCTTCTTCAGAAGATATGTGAATTCATCTTCACTTAGATCTGTGTGAGTTGGATTTTCAGGAAGAAGGAGTGAATTCAATAGACTCAGAAATGGCCCAGAAGATGACGATGCCCAATTTGTTTTTTCTTACTGTGGCCATATTTCAAATTTTTATTCATTTTCTTCTTATTTAACTGTCACTATTAATATTTTCATTTTTAATGAAATTTTTAAATGTTTTTATTTATTTCTGAGAGAGAGACAGCATGAACAGGGGAGGGTCAGAGAGAGGAAGAATCTGAAACAAGCTCCAGGCTCTGAGCTAGCTGTCAGTACACAATCCATCACAGAGCCTCAAAGCCATGAACCGTGAGATCATGAGCTGAGCCGAAGTTGGACGCTTAACCGACTGAGCCACCCAGGCACCCCAATATTCTTCATTTTTAGGTGTTAAGTAGGGGAAAAGATATATGAGATACTGTGGAAAATAATAGTGTTGGAGTCAAAGACATATCAAGTTAGTATGTGCCATGCATCATCCTGAAGGAATAGAGTCACCTGAGTATATCTGGATGTGGTATGAAGAGATACATTGCAGAAATAGATTTTGCCAGGCTTTTCAATGACTGACTGGGATGGTCATGAATCCAAGAGCTGGAAGAAATATGGCTAGGAAGAAAGAGTATAGCTATGGGGCAAAAACCCGACCTCTCACTGGGGCCAAACAAATATAAATTCAGAGGAGCAAGTGCTTTTATAGGAAGAAGGGAGAATTATTTTTAGAACGGACAATAGGGAGAAAGGATGTCTTCCTGAGGTATATTTGGTGAGAGAAACAGCCAACACATAGCCAGACTTGATACAATTGTGATGTTTTAGTTATTGCTGCACATGATGCACAGCAGGCTTTGGGGAGTGTTTCTTCCAGGGGAGAACTTGCTGGCTTCTGTTTCTAACTGCCTAGACCTCCTGTAGATATAAACAGTGGGATCCAAATTTGGAGGTTTAGCTTTGCCTGAGCAGATGATGATTATCTCACTATCTGTGGTACAATCCACTTAGTTTATGTTAATTTGGAAAATTTGGATTTGTAACTTATCCAACAAAAGAGAGTTGAGCTAGTGATACTCAGATGTGAGAAAACCAGAAATGAAAGTGTATGTGAAGTTATCCAGAGGGGAAAGACAGGTTTCTTGATCACAAATCCAGGATGAGAACCCAAGAACTCAAGCCATAGTTCAGCCATCAAATCCAGGTTTAGAGATTCTAGATTAGTTATAAATTTCTTGAGGTTAGAAACATCTTTTTTTTAAAATAGCTGACCTCCAATGGATAGTGCCTAGAAAACAGTAAAAGTTTAAGCTACTGAGTTACTAGCCATTGTCTGGAAATAAAAGCTTATGTATAATATGTATTCCAGTCGGAAAAGGAAGGGAGAAAAACAAATATTTTCTTACTTATAAACTGAATTCTACAAAAATATCATAAGATCATGTTCTCCATAAATCAATATCTAGAATTTAATAAAGAATCTGTTCTTTCTTTTTGATTTGAATTTCAATGGTATGAATTGAATTTCACTATGGGATTATTTTTAAATTGTTTCATGTAATGATTAGCATAAATTGCAAATCCACACAAAGCTGTTTAACTATTATTCCTTAAATTATTGCCCTGTTTTATAAAATCAACAGAAAGACTCTTAAATAGTTGTTAAGAATACTTTTTTTAAAAATGTCAACAATTCTCATTAGTTAAAACAGCCTAAGTGATATATGTGTTTAAAACCATGTACACTAATGCCTTAAAGGATTACCAAAAGAAAGTTGATCTAAAATCATCTCAATATATTTTCTTAATAATATAATTCAGAGGGTTGCATGAGAAAATGGACATTTAAGGAAACACATAACCTACCTTGGCTATAGATGCTATGTAATAATGAACATTTTTAAAGAGGACTGAAGGAAATGTATTTCATCACAATTACTGTTTTTTATTTATAATCTTTTCCTTTGTAGAGTCTTAGAAGAAATGAGAGTTTTAAGGCGACATGAAATATTTTATAAAACGTTTCTAAAACAAAACAAAACAAACATTTCCAATACATATTCTGTTTTAATTTTTATTTATTTATTTTTGTTTACTTTGTATATATTCTATTTTTAAAAGCATATTTTAAATATTATTATTAGATAAGAGATGCTATGAATTTATCCCTATTTTAGATGGATTATTGTATATATTTTCATAATTAAAATTTGTGATTTAAGAAGTATACTTTTTGGTAATCTAGAATGACAGTCTCTTAAAACATTTGATTTTTATCCATAAATAAATGACTCTTTATTGGTCTCCTCATGAATGCTTTTTCGCATTCAGATATATCCAATACTACTTAGCCATTTTATATTACCTAAATTATCAGCCTGTGACATTGTTTATTTAAATGCCCTGTGTCTGTACGCAGCATTTTATTTAAAGGCACTTAAAATATTAGTTTCATTTATCCATTGCTATTTTCATCAAAATAAACACTCAGCAATCCTGTTATTAATGGGTGAAGTTCACAGGTTGAATTTGATGTAGAATAAGGTTCAGTGAAATAATCTTAGGGTTGAGAATTGATTATTAAATAAATTATTAATATGGATGACATCTATGAATCTGCTTTTCTGTGGCTTATGTTATAAATAAATATAGCTTAAGGGTATTAGATATAGTACCTAGTGTCTTTATATTCTTCATCCATATTAACTTTTCAGTTTGCCAAAATTTTAAAATAGTAAATTCTATTACCAAACACTACATGATAAGTCCAAGGCACTGAATCATTATAAAAGATTGTATTTTATTATATAATTATTTAAAACGTGCAACTATGAAAACCAAATACCATTGTAAATCCCAATTCCTGAAACAGTTTTGGGCTGTGTATGGTAGGTGCTCTTTGTTTATCTGGATCTCCTGTTATGCAGTTCTTCATAGGACCGTGTACATTATGGATGTTGACTCCTAACTTTCCAAGGGTACACAAGTGCAGGTTGCTATAAATAAATGAAATTGCATCTGTAAGCTTTCTTAAAAGCAATTTGCCTGAAAACACTCCTAAGTTCATAATAGTATTCTACTTCACAAGATAAAGAAATAGCCTTCATCCATTCTAAAATTGCTAGGATGCTGACCAGGAAGGCCAATAGGTCCTTCTGGCCTGTCCTGTATATGTCTGCTGAAGGACAAGGACAGTGTTGATACCCAGGTGCTCATTTTCATGATGGGACGTTCTGACATCAGATATATGGTGGTGTGGAAGAGATTGGTGCAACGATAAATTTCATTTAATGACTTTACCTTTTATTTACTCAATAATGCAAAAGATTGGATTACTCCTGAGGGAGATTCAAGAGCAAAGCAAAAACAGTATAGATAGGAAACACTAAAAGCTAAAAAGGGCTCTTAAAAATTTTTAAGTAAGTAATTCTTTTTAGTTATTCTCAATATCTGATCTTGGAAGTGTCATTGGCTTAAAAGAGCACTTTGAAACAACCAAACCTAGTAGTTTAGTGACACTGATTCTTCTAAACATAGTTGGAATATTTTCTGAGACAACTAAACTTTTAAAAATGCACTGAATTAACAACACTTTATGTAATTACAGTATAAAAGTTTTAATCTAATTATAGCCAAACATCATATTATTACATCTAATGTAAAATGTTTAGTATTTTATATCTCTTACTGATAATAAAATTAAGTCATATACTATTTGAGGAATCAATTTAATCTATACATATATATCTATATAAGCATGTGTATGTATATATACATAATATATTATTCAAAGTTTATTCATTATATTTTTATATTACATGTATTTTCTACCTCCTATTAATAAAAAAGTATAAAACTATATACTAGCTGCTTGTTTTAAATATATGTATTTAAATATATGTAACGCTTCATACATTATATAATTTTATGGTAGTTAACAAAATTATCAAAGTCATTTCTTATATATTTGAAGCATATTTATTTAGTCTCAAAGGTAAGCCCTAAAATTTGGTATTGTTGAAAATCTTTATCATGCTCTTAGCTTCATAAACAATTTAAAATTTTACTGGTATATTACATGACTTTAGTACAAGTAAAATAAGGTATAATACAATATTCGTTGGTCTGATTTTTATAACTTATTCACAATACAAATTTATTAGGGGTGCCTGGGTGGCCCAGTCTGTTGGGCCATGCTGAGCATGGAACCTGTTTGACATTCTCTCTCTCTCTCTCTCTCTTGCTCTCTCTCTCTCCCTTCTGTCCCTCTTGTTGCTTGTGTGTGCATGCTCTCTCTAAAAATAAATAAATAAAAATTAAAAAAAATTTTTTAGTAAAATAAATTTATTAATCCACCTCATTTTAGTCTTTTCATCTACTTTTAATAACATAACTTCCAGTTGTGTTGCAAAGTTTATTCATTCTTAATAATTTCCTCAAGATGCAAACTAATACTGTTTTTGAACTGCAAAACAACGTTGTATTTTTTGAAAGAGATAAATTTGATTTGAGTAAGAAGTTTGAAAACAAAGCCTGGTTTGTCTAATAGCTAACATGACAAACATTTTTTATAAATAAAGTGAGCAGTACCCAAGGTTTAGATGAGATATACCTAAAGCAAGGCATACATTTTAAAGCATGTAACACAATATCATTTTATCCAAAACCCATTACCATTTACAATATTTTGATGTTTCTTTATCGTTTTTGAAAAATTGGGTGGTTGCACAAAGTACTCTTATTTGAGAGTA